GGAAGAGACCAGTCAGAGAAAGTTGGACACCCAGGAGCAGCAATGCTCAAAGCTTTTCTCCCCAGGTGGGGTTCTTAAGACTCAACCAGGTCTTCCAGAGAGAAGATCCCTAGCCAGAAGTCTTCGGCATCTTGCTGGCCCATTTTGGCTTTAGTTTCTTGAGCCTTGTGTTTTGGGCCATATCCAAGGAAGGTAATAGATACTGAGGACCTGCTCCTGTCTGAGCAGCCTCACCTCACCCTCCAGGAAAGAACTCCACAGGAAGTTCAAGCTCATCCTCAAGACTAATCCTGTCCTGTCAGAGCTTCCCTTCAACCTTCAGGCCATTGAAGGGCAGATGCTACAGTATTGTCTTACAGAATGGAACAGAGGGTTTAAGGTAAAAGAGAGGGGGCTGGAGAGATGGCTCAGTGGTTAAGGGTACTCGCTGCTCTTGCAGAGGACCTGGGTTCTACTCCCAGCTCCTACATGATATTTCATAACTGTCTGTAACTCCAGTTCCAGGGGATCCAATGCCTTATTCTGATCTTTTCAGGTACACATGTGGTATACAGAAGTACATGATGCAGGCAAGAAACCACAGGCTTCCCTGTCCAGGATGCTCAATTGGGACTCGTGTTAAAATGAACATTCAGAGCCTTGCCTCTATAATGTGACTTTCTTTGGAATCACCAGCTTCTGAATAATGACACAGAGACTTACATTTATTTAAATAGCTTTAGGCCTTTGGTTACCTAGTTCCCGACTACCTTGTAAAACATATTAACCTATTTATTCTATTCTATGCTCTGCCACATGAGTACTTCCTGAGTACTGGCACTTGCTTCTTCCCCTGTGTCTGGCTGGCAAATTCTCCTGCCTGAGCATCTTTCCCAGAGCCCCTATATGCCTGAAGTCCTACCTCTCCTCTTGCCACAGCTATTGGCCAGTTAGCTCTTTATTTAACCAGTCAGAAGGAGATGGAGGAATTCTTTATGAAATATAATGCAGCCATATGAATAACAATACTAAAGTTGCACAGAAATCAGTATTTGAATAATACAAAGACAATCCTTACCCAGTGCACAAAAAGATCACCACAACACATCTCTGTCGACCTACTCTTCAGGAAGGGGTGGACTGATCAGTGGGTGGGAAAATGGGGAGTCTAGGTTTTGATGAGTGTCCCCGATGTGTTTTAGGCTAGACAAGTTTGGGAAATCTTGAGTTCATCATAAGCTTGCACTGGGTTACCTATAACTACTGACAAAATGCCACAAAAGGGTAGAGCAGTGCTCTGCCAGTCTCCATTAGCCTGCTTCAAAAGGGTTCCTGTATTCTGCACTTAGATAGATGGTCAGCCATGCTTCCTGCAGGCTTGATTTGATTTATTGGTCACTTGAGAATCAGAGCATGCCAGGATGCCAGTGGTTCACTCTAGCCATTGCATCCCTACCTGGAGAGAACTCACAGTGCAGGAAGCCATCTCAAGTGTCACTGGGGAAGGCTAAGAAATGGGGCCTCTGGTGACAGTCAGGAGAGGACAATCAGGTGAGTGATGTCAGTCGTGAGGGCACGCTTTCCTCTACTCCCTCTCGTTTCTGAGTACAGCTGCTTAGCTTAGGCTGTGCTGTCCAGCAATGATGTTATAAATTGATTTGCATATTTATTAAATTTGAGTGCTGAAATCCTTACTCCTGATGTGATGTGTTAGAGATAGGACCTTTCTGCTGGTAATTAAGGTTCTCTGGGGTCTTAGGTTGGGACCTCATCCATCGCAAGAGGAAACTTGAAGGATACATGTGCTCAGAGGAAAGGCCATGTAAGGACACATTAGACCTGACCACCTGAAAGCCAAGGAGAAAGGCCCCAGGAGAGGCCAGACTTGCCCACGCCTTCATTGTGGACTTCTAGCCTCAGTACTCAGAACAGCGAGGAAACACTTCTGTTGTTGAAGCCACCCAGTCTTGGCTCTTGACGAGGGTAACTGAGCTGGCTAGCATAGCTGGGAACCATGTGAGGACTCTTTTCATATGAGCGTAGATGCTAACTTGACCCAGGATTGAGCTAGAATCTAGAGCCGGGGTGCAGTGTGGATTTCTAGAGATATCTTTGCCTAGGCCTGCACCAGTGAGTGCAGGGGCCATGCTGATGTGGATGGATTGGTTTGTGGTCCCATCTTTCCTTGCCTCTGTATTATTCAAGGTGTACCCCATGGTGACGGACATTGAGGCATGCCAGGTTTGAGATGAGTGAAGTCTTTATGCAGCTCTACGTGGCTATGTAGAAATCTAGTGGGAAACCAGCTGGACGTGGTTGCCTTGCTAATCTGGGCTTGCCCATGGCAATGACATGGGAAAGGCATCCCACCCTTGTGATGGACCATAGGGAGCCATCTGCTCTAGGAAATACTCTGTAGAATAGCAGCTCCTAGCCAGGGACAGTGTTGTCCTGCTGGGGACAGGAGGCAGTGTCTTGAGACATTTTGTCACAACTAGGAGAGAAGTGCTACTGGGATTTAGAGGGTCAGAGCTAAGGACCAGGCCAAGGATGATGCTCTGAACAGGCCAGGCCCCCCACGACAAGAGATCACCCACAAGCATATTTTGGGCTGACAATAAGGAACTGCAATAAAACCGTGTTTCTTTGCTATGATTTAGTTAGGGACCAGCACTTCTGAATAGGAAAGCCAGGCTAAATAGACAGGAAAACAAAGCAGGTGTTAAACTGGATATCTGCTGACTGTGGCATGATGCAGGGGAAATTGCTGACATTTGAAGGCTGCTGAGGCAATGGAACAGATCAGAAGGGAAGGTTGTCTACAGACATGTAGCAGGAGCTGAGGCCCCTCTCCCTGCTGCCAACGCCCATGTGACAGCATCTGGACCCCCTTAGCCTCTGTAGTCTGCTTTCTGAGATAAGTGTCCAGGAGCAGCTACAAGGTAGGGAGACCAGGTTGCTGCTGACCAGAAGAAACTGTGCTCAGCAAAGGGAAGTTACCTCAGAAGGAAGAAGGGTGGACACCTGTTCTTCCAAGACCAGAGGAAAGCGAGTGTGTTTGGTGATGGGAGGAGATAGTTTGGGACAAAGAGCTGGGACCAGAGGCTACAAACACTTAGGGCCTGTGTGTCTAATGGAGTTCCCCAGGTGCTTGCAATCCAAGGGATGTTTATTAAGCTTTCTGAGGGAAAAAGTTGCCAGGTTGGAAATAGATAAGTAAGCCCGTACTCAACCCAAGAGGCATGTTCGGTCCTCTCCCACTTTATCTGCTGGGACTCCGGCCTCAGGGTTTGGCTGTGAGCAAAGTCAGGAAGCACCGTGAGAACTGGCCCCACCCACAACAACAGCACTGCTCAGGTGTGGGTAGGCAGGGTGTATTCTCCAGACTGGCCTGTTTGAGTGAGCCTTTCCCACACCTGGGTTGTTGGGACGCAGGATAGGACAACCATTTAGAAAGTAAAAATGCTGGACACAAAAAATAAAAGAAAATAAAAAAATAAAACAATAAAAATACAAAAAAATAATGCTGGACACCCAAGTCAGTCTGAATCTCATGTGACACATACTCTTAGAGAATTTTCTTCATTTATCTGGAACTCGAGTGTAATGGCTTTCTGGACTTCAGCTGGAAGTTTGCCTGGAGAGAAAGGGGTTAATGTGTCATAATCACCTGCCTACGCACACAGTCCAAGGTCACACACAGTTCCATTCTGTGCAGCCTATTCTATTTCCTGTTCTGCCTTCTGAGACCATGGTACAGGGTTTCCCTTTCTCTAGCAGAACAGCTGGGAACCTAGAAATCCATGCAAGGGCTGGTTGGTTTCCCTGGAGAAGTGGGAAGCGGAGATCGTGGGGCATCCCTGGGCATACTGGAAGGGAGGGCGGGCTTCTTGGCTGGCAGGGTTAGAGGAGCGAAAACTGTGGGTGGAGAGGGCTGAGAATGGACAAGAGCCAAAGACAAAGCGAGGCAGATGTGTCAGTGGGAGGGGAGGGTCTGGGTCATGTCTAGAGAGGCAGGTGATGGAGGGCAAGCCCAGGCCTGCTCAGTTATTGGCCCCTAAAGCCTTGCACAGTCTTCCCAGTGTCTAAACAGTCAGAAGCAGGGCTGCCTGTGACCGTATTTAATTTCTATCCTGAAGGTTTACTAGTTCTGCTTTGCTTCAGCAACATCAGCCTCATCACTATTTTTATAATACCTCACGGAGATGCCTACCCTAGGTTCTTTGCACATATGGCCTTTTCCGTCTAGAATGATGTCTGGTTGTTTTGTGAACTTTTTGGTGAGATGTAAATACTCCAGATAGGGCACTAATGGCAGACCTACCATTAGTGGAATGGTACCATTCCACTGGAGTTCAGCTTCACCTTACTTACACTGTGTGGGTAACTCCCAAACAGCCAGACCTCAGAAAGTCACCTCACCATGGACAGTGATTTCCTCATAGCTACAAAGATAGAGTCCTCTCTTCAGCTGGTATTCCACATGCCACCATGAGACCGTGTGCAGTTCAGGTAGGTGTAGGATGGAGTGATGAGACTCTCAGGTGAGGGTCTAATGACTTTCCCCAGTCCCTTCTTTATGAGGGACTGTCACAGGGCCTGATCTTTGAGAGTCTCTTGCAAAGAAGTAGTCGTGGATGCTTTGGTGACAGTGACAATGGCTGCTAAGCTGGGAGTACAAGCCTTTATTTTTTCTGATTGTTGCTCAGATGCCCAGCATGACCCCTGTCAAAGTCAGGTGTTTGATATAGGGCTTTGGGGTGAACCATCGGGGCTTTTCTTTCATCAGTTACCTAGCTCCCATTGTACAGATGAGGAAACGGAGGGAAACCTGTCCAGGGTCTGTGCCCGCCGATGCATGGAAACCAGAACCTGTTGCCTGTCTGGGGTGTCTGTCTGTCTTTGGAGTTTGTCAACCTCAGTTCTGCAGAGTGGGGATCTGGCAGTGTTTGAGTGAGCCTCAAGTATTCCCAAGTATCATCCCATGTCTTTAGGTGACTGCTTTGTCTCCATTTCCTCAGGATGTATTTCTGAGCCAGTTGTGGTTCCTGATGGCCCTCGAAGCGAGTCTGTGGAAGGAAGCCCTTTCCGTCCTTCACACTCCTCCTCGGCAGTGTTCGATGAAGACAAGCCGATAGCCAGCAGTGGGACTTACAACTTAGACTTTGACAGCATCGAGCTAGTGGATAACTTTCAGAGCTTGGAACCATGTTCTGCAGACTCTAAGGGTCAGGAGTGTAAGGTGAGCACACGGAGGAAATCCACCGAGTCTGTGCCACCCTCCAAGTCCACGCTGTCCCGCTCGCTCAGCCTGCAAGCCAGCGACTTTGACGGTGCTTCTTGCCCCGGCAGCCCTGAAGCTGGGACCCTTGCCACAGATGCCTGTGGCACAGGATCCAACAGTGCTTCCAGCACCCTTAAGCGAACTAAAAAAACACGGCCACCTTCCTTAAAAAAGAAACAAGCCACCAAGAAACCCACAGAAACCCCCCCAGTAAAGGAGACCCAACAGGAGCCAGATGAAGAGAGTCCAGTTCCCAGTGAGGAACACTTAGCCCCAGAGACAAAGACGGAGTCAGCCACACCTGAGGGCACTGGTTGCACATTGTCAGAAGAGAGTCCACTGGAGTCCACTGCTGTACCCACAGCCACCTGTCCTCTGACTTTGGAGAGTACAGAAGACGTTAGCCCTCTGGTTTCTGGAGGTGGCAGAGTGCAGAACTCACCCCCTGTGGGGAGAAAATCAGTGCCTCTTACCACAGCCTCTGAGGCAGTGGAGGTGACCCTGTCGGATAGTGGGGGGCAAGAGGACTTGCCTGCCAAAGGGCTGTCAGTGAGGCTGGAGTTTGACTATTCCGAGGACAAGGGAAGTTGGGAGAGTCAGCAGGAAAACGCCCCGCCCACCAAAAAGATAGGCAAGAAGCCAGTTGCCAAAATGCCCCTAAGGAGGCCAAAGATGAAAAAGACCCCCGAGAAACTTGACAACACTCCTGCCTCACCACCAAGGTCCCCTACTGAACCCAGTGACACCCCAATTGCTAAAGGTACCTACACCTTTGATATAGACAAGTGGGATGACCCCAATTTTAACCCTTTTTCCTCCACCTCAAAAATGCAAGAGTCTCCCAAACTGTCCCAACAATCATACAGCTTTGACCCTGACGCCTGTGAAGAGTCCCTTGACCCCTTTAAGGCATCCTCTAAGACCCCAAGCTCACCTTCTAAGTCCCCAGCCTCTTTCGAGATCCCAGCCAGCACCATTGAAGCAGACGGGGATGGGTTGAATAAGCCTGCCAAGAAGAAGAAGACTCCCCTGAAGACGTAAGTTGAAGGAGGGAGGTGGTAAGGGCTGTGAGCGGTTGTGCGTTCTTGTGACACTTTTAGTCCTGTGCCTGAGAATCCCCAGCTGCCCTTGTCCTGCCCTCTGTTGCTGTGGTGACACCATCTTTGTGGCTGTTTCTCTTTCTCTCCGCAGCCTCAGTGGTTTCATCTTCCCATCCTGGAACCCACAGAACCCTTGATTTTTTACTTCAATAAGTCAGTGGCTTGAAGGCTTATGTTTACCCCCTAATGACCTTTCAACCCCTGGGGAATATGGGAAGTTCCAGAGAAAAGGAACAGACATGAGAGACCTGGCCACCTTTCTTTTGGGGGCTCAACTCTTCCCTGGTTAGCATATGCAATGCCTCTGGATAAACTGGGATATACACCCTGCAAAATAATGTTAAAATGTACAACAGTTGTCTCTACCTGCTAATATGACTTTAACTCAGGGATATCATATGGTCTCAGGCAGCAGGAAGCCCTGGATGGAAAGCTGCTTCTTGCCCTCTGATGAACCTGCAAGAAACAGACTCTTTAACTGGGCACGGTGGCACATGCCTTTAATCCCAGCACTTGGTGGGCAGAGGTGAGAAGGAGAGGGGAAAGGAAAGGAAAGGAAAGAAAAGGGAAAGGGACAAAGAAACAGACTCTGCTGCCCGCCTTCTTTCTAGTCATCTTTTTCAAACAAGACATGAAAGTTGCTCTAAGACCAAAAGAGATTAGTGCAACCTAAGTTGGACTAAGTTGGTAGGGGGAAGCAGACCTACCTACATTCCCCAGGAAGAGTGGCTTTTGTCCACAAACACTTGCCAAAGACATTGCCCCTAGATGTGTGGGTGCCCTGACACTCATCCTGGGTAGCCCAGCTTTGTTGGCCATAGATCCATTCCTGAGGACCATGCGCAGGCTTGCTACAGACATTCTGGCTCTCTTGGGAAGCATCAACTGTAATTTAATCAGGTGGAAGAGATGTCTTCCATCCCAGGGCAGAGGACCATGCACCTAGTACTGGTCCCTCTAGGACTACTTGGCTTGGGGGGAAAAAAAAGAAAAAATATATATTATATTGACTTACATTGAACTTTTTATTATTATATTACATATTATATTGAATTATATATATAATTTTTATTGAAAATAGATGTTTTCTCTACAGTATATTTTCATTATAGTTTCCTTCCCAGAACTCCAAGACCCTTCCTACCTCCCCACTCACCAAATCAACACAGAACTTTATTTTAAAAGTGGAATAATACCCACAAATGTCTTCACTTCAACACCATAGCTTGGAAAGAGAGTCACTGGAGCCACTTCATTCTTCTGACCCAGGATAGTGTAATACATCCCCAGGCGCTTTCCCCTTAGTTTGTTAGAGCTAAGGAAGGTTGAGGAAGCTGACCCTGTGTCCTGGTCTCACCCCTTGTATATGTGGTTCTGCTGATTTGGAAGACTCCACATGCGGAGGTAGAGCTCTTAGGTATCAGCCCTCTGGGTGTCCAGAAGCTGGAGAAGAAGCTGTGTCCAGGCAGCCCCTTCCCAGAAGGCTGCCCTGTTGGAGGAGAATCCTCTATGGATGGCTATATCCTAACCCACTAGTGCCCAGTGTCTGCAGAATGATCTTTTTTGTCAGTTCCTTCTGTCTGTCTCTCTTCTTTGTCTTCTTGTCTTAGGATGGTTGAAGATGTGATGTCTGTGTGTTCTCTGTTGTAAGTAAATTTAATGTACTCTGCCTCTTACACCCAGTGTGGGGCTTCTGCCTTGCTTCTGCTCGCAAGCCCTCTCCCTTTGTTCTCTGTGATGACTGCTGTATTTCTTTGTAGAGCTTGGGAATGATGGGTGCAGGGCTCCCCTGAACTCAAGGTTACTTTTCTGTGATTAGCATGAGACTGCTTGACTGGGAAAAGGGAAAGGTGATTACTGCTGCCTGCTTGTCTGTAACAGAACCCTCCCCCGCTTGGTTTTTATTTATTTATTTATTTAGTTTTAAATCTTCATCAGAAATCCATACATTGCTTTTTAACTCTTCATTCCATTCCTTTTTGTTGTAAGTTGGGCTGGCGGGTGACTGTTTGCAGTAGCAGGATGCTTTCATATTAAAACACTGCATGAAGCCTGGCCAGAGACCACCAAGGCTGGTTCTTGTGTTGTGAAGTACTACCATCTGGACTCTTGCAAATTCATGCTTTCAGAAATCTGAGGGGATGTGGGATCAGCTCAGTGTGAAGCCCACAGCTGAAATCCATTGCCAGAGTGGTCATGTTCCTGGTCACTTACATCTAGGCTGGATGTTAACCCTTCAGATCTGTGGGTAGCTTTGCCAGGCATTAATGCAACTGGCTACCTGTATGCCTCTGGTGCTCTGTATCCTAGCCAGGGCTCTGAATCTATGTGCTTTCTCCCCGCCCTTTCAGGGGAAGCTGACCTGGACCCAGGCTTCTGGCAGCTCCCCTCCCCCGGATAGCACGGAGTCTCTCAATGCTGGCCTACCCAAGCAGCTTATTTAGTATTTAGTCATTTAGCAACTACAAAACAGTTATATATTTATATGCATGAATAAATATATGCCTTATGTTGGGACTAGACTTGTTTTTATGATAAATGCCATAAATGCAATAAGTAACCATTTATGGCAATTTTTTTAAAAATGATCTAATGCCATTGTTGGAGTGTTCTATTTGAGAGTACACAAGGAACTTGGGTGCCAGATTTCTGTACCTACTTAGCTAATATGGAAGAGAGAGAGAGAGAGAGAGAGAGAGAGAGAGAGAGAGAGAGAGAGAGAGTGTAGAATCTGGTCCGTTAACCATAGCCAGGGGAAAAATATAAAATACCATCCTCCTCATCGCTGCCTCCAGTCAGGATCCTACCCAGAGTCTTCCAGAGCAGAGGGACCCATTGTGCTCTGTTCCTCTGTGAGTGCAAAGGGCTCACAGGATCCAGAACTTTTCTGTTTCCGTGTGGGCTCCGCTGGCTGTTCATTACGAGCGTCTCTCCTTGCACATGTGTAAATTGGATCCTGTTAATTAGTGCCGGAAGCCCCTCCCCCAGCCTTAGCTGGCTCAGCAATTAGGCTCCTCACCACAACTTGGCTTTTATAAAAGTAAGAACGGTTAGTTAAATTTAGCTGCATTTTTTTTTCTGGGTCAGCTCTCCAAAATGGCTTGTCTTTAAAGGTTTCCAGCTTGGTGGGTCTTTCCCTTGGGGGCAAAAGTGCTATGAGTTAAAAGGTCAGAATGAGTTGTTGCCATGTACCCCTTTAGCTGGGGTTTGGTAGGCGGGAGGGCTGGGAAGTTCCCAGATGCTTGGGAATGACCTGTGACCCTGTTTTATTTACAGTGACACATTTAGGGTGAAGAAGTCTCCAAAGCGGTCTCCTCTGTCTGATCCACCTTCTCAGGTATAGCACTCCCTGATCCCTTAAGTATTGCACTGCTGAGCAGGGAATTAATGCTGCTTTGTGTGTGCATACACACCAGGCACGTGTACATACACACACACCATGCATGTACGCGTATACATACTGAGGCACATGTGTACATATATACCACGCACACACACCAAAACAGGCAGAACTCACTTTGGCAAGGCTTAGGGTGTGTGCTGAGGGGAATTAGTTGTGAAGTGAGAGCTGGCTGCATTTTACAGCCGGAATTCTTCTAGTCCATTCTAGCCGTTAAACCTGCTGAGACCTTGTATCAAGTTGAGAGATTCTTTTGAGATCAGTGGACACACAGTGAGAAAATGGGTGAAAACTGAGTATGTATCAGGAATAACAGATTTTGCCATCAGAATTACAGCAGTTAAATGAGGGAAGCTTACCCTGAAGAAATGGTAGCTTGGGGCTGGAGAGATGACTCAGTGGTTAAAAGCACTTACTGCTCTTGCTAGGGATCCAAGTTCGATTCCCAGCACCCACAACAGTTGGTTCACAACTGTTTATACCAAGGTTCTAACACCTTCTTCTGGCCTCTGTGGGTACTGCACACACACACACATCACTTATACATATAAAATAAATCTTTCCCTCTTAGCTGTGTTTCCAATAAGCTCATGCCATGTCTTCAACCCTCTTTATAGACCAAGGAAGGTAATCCTCAGGCAGGCTTGCTACCATTCCGAGTGACAAGACAAACTGATCTCCAGATACAAATCAGCTTCAGTTGCTGACTGGGTGGAACTAGGACTTTAGCTTCAGGCATAGGAGACTTCAGGTGCAATCGTAGCTCTCCCCTGAGTTCTCCCTGCCCTGTACAATGGCAGTAAAATCCCCTTCTCTCTTCAAAAGGACTGCTGTGAAGTGAAGACTGTTCGACAGTGTTGCTGATACTGCAGTTAAACTAACTGGGCTGTCTCTGACAACCAAGATAGAGACGTACTGTTTCGGTTTTGAGACAGAGTCTCACTGTAGCTCTGACTGGCCTGGTACTTATTACATAGTCCAGGCTAGCCTCAGTCTCTTAGTACATGGATCCCAGCTGTGAACCACTATATGAGACTTTTTGTTGTTGTTGTTGTCAGTGCTGGGGATTGAACCCAGGGCTGTGTCCCTGCAAGACAAGCACCATACCATGGGGCCACATCTCTAGACCTTGCAGAAAGAGTCCTATACTATAGCCCAGTTTAGTCTCACAGTCCCAGCTGTCCTCCTGCCTCACCTTCTCAAATGCTAGGATTACAGGCAGGAATCACCATGTCCATTTAAAAAAAAAATTATAATTTAATTAACTAATTTTGATAGCCCATGGTCACTCCCTGAAATCAACCATCAGTAAAGGAGCTCCATAGAGGAAAGGTGCTTCCTTGAGAGGCCCTGTGGATCAGAGTCCCAAGGGAACAGATGGAGGGGTTTCCCTGGCTTAAGGGGGCATGGTTTCTGATCAAGAGACTAGGTGAAAGAAAAGGCTGTCCTTTCTCCTCACAGGACTCCACTCCAGCTGCCACGCCAGAAGCACCCCCAGCAATCTCTACAGTGGTCCATGCCACAGACGAGGAGAAGCTGGCTGTCACTAGCCAAAAGTGGACGTGTATGACCGTGGACTTGGATGCCGACAAACAGGACTTTCCTCAGCCCTCGGACCTGTCTAACTTTGTAAATGAGACCAAATTCAATTCACCCTCAGAGGGTAAGCAACTCGGTGGCCAGCCAGACCCACACCTTGCCTTGGAGAATACTGTCCCTAGGGGGCAAAGAGCCAGAAAAGATACTTTCCAGCCAGGTAACCATTACCCGTGTGACAATCTGCACGCCTCGCTCTGTATGCAAAGTTATGTCTGGAGAGCAGCTGTTCCTTGCCCCTATGATGCCTGCTGAGAATCTGACTAGAACCCTCTAACCCAGATCCTGAGCCCTCACTGGCTTGTTCTTGGCTGTACGGCTTAGATAACCTTCTATAGCTCTGAGAGGCACTGCTCCAAAGGAACAGCCTTCACACTGATCTTTGACTGTAGGTCAACCCACCTCTGCGTCTTCTGGTGCCAGCATTGTTCATGTCCCCCACAGGATGGGTGGCCATAATGACCATGCATTTTAATCAAGCCTGGATCCAGAGACTTACACCCCACACCCACCCCTGCTTGCCGATGAGAACTTGATTGCTTTGGGAAGGTCCCAAGCACTTGTCTTATCTTGGTGCCTACCTCTATGCTCTGTGTTCAATTTCTTTCTCTCAGATTGTTGGGTTTGAATGAGTCATATATCTTAGGGCTGGGGTGTCCTCACTTGGCAGAGTGCAGAGTGCATCTGTGAATCCCTGCATAAACATTCTCCACTGCATAAACACTAGGTGTAGTGGCACACACATACGCTCCCAGCAGTCTGGAAGGTAGAGACAGGAGAACCAGAGGCTCACCCTCCTTCCCCACCTTTGCCTGTCTCAGCCTTTGCCTGGATAGCCACTCCTTTCCCTGCTTGCTCTTCATGCTTGATCTGTGGGCTCTTAAGACCATGATGAAGAAGTGTGTGCATTTCTTGTTTATTACTGGGCTGTTTGCTTACTGAAGGCAACAACTGAGTCCCTTCCTACTGTGAACATCATAGGAGCTGAAGATGGGTTTGAGGTCAAAGAAATGCAAGGCCAGAGCAGGTAAACAGTGGCGTGTTGGCTCAGCTGACCTCTGCAATGGCTGCCACCTGCATGGAGCATAGGGACCTGAGAAGCGAGAGAAGCCTAACGCCCCAGACACGGCAGGATCATTTGGACACAAGTTTTTTACTGGCCACTGGGATAGCATCTCCAGTTCCCTGCTGGATCACCTCTCTTGAGCTAGATAAGAACCTTCTCAACACCAGAAAAAAGCATTTAGAAGCCAGCTTGGGCTTGGTATTGAGGATTAAAACACATTTGATCTGGCCGTGTGTTGGTCATGAACTAAGACAGTTCACTAAACTCTTTGACAATTGTTTCTGCAAAAATCCAGCAAATAGGGAAGGCGGAAGAAATCCAGCAAATAGGGAAGGCTGAAGGAGATGACTCAGTGGGTCAGAGTGCTTGCTGTGTAAGTATGAGGACCTGGGGTCAAATCCCAAGAACCCCTGTAAAAGCCGGATGTGCAGGACAAGCATCTAATCACTCCTCTAGCAGAGAGGTGGGAACAGGGACAGGAGAGTCTCAGGAAGCATAATGATCAGATGGTCTGCAATATTCATCTAAAGAAAACAAAACAAGAAAACCCATCTCAAACAAGTTGAAGGCATAGTTGAAATTTGTCCTTTAATATCCATGCATACACTGTTCTGTGCACACACCCATATTCACACACATGAAATTCACACACATGAATATTCATATGTCCATACATACATACACACATGTATGTGTGTGTGTGTGTGTGTGTGTGTGTGTGTGTGTGTATACACACACACACACATATGAGAGAGAGAGACAGAGACAGAGAGACAGAGTTAGGCAAATAGGAATAAATCTAACTTTGAAACAAAACTCTTTTAAACCTGCCCATTGAGAAAATATCAGGAAAGATTTGACAGGTGCCAATTTGTTTTAGCTATTGAATGACAGAATCCATCCACGTGAAGATACCATGCCTTTGGGAGGCCTTGGCCCTGCTGTGTTCATCTCTATGACACACCCTGGATGTAGAGGCCCCCTCATCAGGTCTTCCCTCTTGGTCTGCGCATCAGACATCTGGGACACTGATGTGAATCTCAGAATGAATCAGTTCAGGGCTGCAGCTGTGGTCTGAGACTTCATCATACAGAAGTCTCCAACCACAGGAAGAGGAAATACTGGGTTAGACATCATAATTACTATCTGAGCACACATTCACAACAATGGTAATTCTATAGGAGAGAGAAGTAAAGCACGGACTGTTATTTTGCACACAGGGTTTCATTTTCTCTGAGCTCTGTGGTAGATCCTGTAGTCCCCACTTTTAAGACTGAGGAAACAGAGGCTTAGCACTGAGAGTGCCTGGCAAGCTCTGTGCATGGCAGGTCTGTGTGGTTTCATAGTTCTTTTCTGCTGTTGAGGTGAGGATACATCAGACTTCCTGCTTTCATTTGTAGAATAAGGGTGTGAGCTAGTTCCTTCCTACCTGGGTGCACAAACATCACTGAAGTGCTTCAAGTTGTCTTTGCTATTTCAAAACCCCAGAGGACAGTAGTTTAGCAATTACCCACAGAGTTGCACTGTCTTGTTTGGGTTGAATGTCACCTTCCTGGGTTGCTTCCTTAATCTCCCGGTGAGTACACAGTCTGATTGACAGTTATGTATGCTCACCTGTTTAATGAATGCCCTTCTCTTCTGCACTGTTTGTAGGCTTGGTAACATGGAAACAAACCTGTTCTCTAAGAAGGAGAATATTAGGAAATGTTAGGTCAGCCTGTCTCTAGGACCTTACCTGCCTTAGGACTAGGAGACTCCGAGAACAGTTGCTTTTATTTTGTTCTCAATGTATTTATTTTTATTTGTGTGTGAATGTGTACTTATATGAGCTTATGTGCATCGTGTGTGTGCCCTTGGAATCCAGAGGACATTAGATCCCCAAAGGCTGGAGTAACAGGCCATTGTGAGCCTGTGTCCAGTGTGGGTACTGGGAACCAGACCTCGTCCTCTGGAAGAGTGTTGCATATTCTTAACTACTGAGCCATCTCTGCAGTCCTGAGCAATTGTTTTTAGACCCGCTGATCTGCATAGCCATCTGGTGGTATCACCTCCCTATACACACCTGCTTTAGCTCCTTCTCCTACACCCAGCAGAGGGCAAGGTGTCTGGGTGGGTACCATGTTTGTAGGTGAGTGTAGTCTTCTCCAGGCTCTCTGTCCATCCATCTCCCTTTTTTTAAAAAAAAAAAAAAAAGAAAATCACTTGTGTTAGAGAGGAATGTTGGAATGAGCAACAGTAAGTCTGGTCGTCATTCTTCACGTTTGTATAGCTCATTGTAGGACTTCTGTGTTATACCTTGTCTTTTCGTAGTTATTGTTTTGTTTGGTTTTGATTTTCGAGACAGAGTTTCTCTGTGTAGCCTTGGCTGTCCTGGAAATAGCTCCATAGACCAGGCTGGTCTCAAACTCACAGAGACCCACCTTCTTCTGCCTCTCATGTACTGGGCTTAAAGGCCTGTGGCACCACCACCTTGCCATTTTATCCAGGACAGCATGGTACTTGGTGTTTCATTTTGTCACTGTGTCAGTGAGTTCAGAGAAGACTGGTCAGTTAATTTTGCTGGTCCTAGAAACTAAGCCCCTTCATCTTTTGCCCAAGGCATTCCTTAGCAAAGCTGAAGTGATTAGTTAGATCCTCTCTGTTTAGCCATACCCTAGTGTTAGAGTAAGTCTCCAAAATGGTCCTTGGATATGAGAAGACTCTAAAAAATAACTATGGACCTCTTCAGTGTGGAATAGCCCTATGCTTCAGTGGCTTAGCCACTGAAGTTGTAAAGACAGGAGCCACTTGGTGCTAATGGTGGAATTCTTCCTAGCCTGGTGTGGCCAGGTGTGAGACGGGGCTAATTGCACTTGACTTTGTCTGTGTGCCTACTCTGTGAGGTTTAGAATGTAAAGCAGATGAGATTTCCTTCCTTCCTTCCTTCCTTCCTTCCTTCCTTCCTTCCTTCCTTC